CAGCATCGGGGCTGCTGCGTGGGCGTGTGGTGGGCTCCTCATGCGAGCGCCGTCCCGCCTAGGTCTTTCGTAGGCCCCCTGTTCAGCAGCATAATTTGCGGGAAATAGAGGTGGAAGTGTTGGCTGCAAATAATTAGCTGGTTGGTACAACGTGGAGAAGGTACCAAGAACTTGCTCAAAGTTTTCTGGTTAAAATGCAAGAGTTAAGTTAAATTCACAGCAGAACAAGTGCCTGAAAAAATCTCGGCTAGAAGGAGCCAGAATGGAAGTCTGGCTCATTATTTTGGCAGTGAAGACAAATAACCGTCAGAACACCTCACCTGGTGTACATCGTCCACTGGCTGAGGTCTTCAAATCGGGACGGTTGTAAAACACGCTTTGGTGTAACTAGTGGTTATTTGGTGTGAAGCAAAAATTAGAGCGTGACTGTTTATGAAAGTTATAAAAGATGTTACACTTGCACTGATCATTTTGGCTTTAAAAATCTATGAATCGCTATTAGTGAATACTGGAACTTGAAAAAAATGATAGTGTGCGGATAAAGAAGACACCTGTCAAATTCATCTATGACATGGAAGACTTTCTCTGGATTTCTGTTTCTTCTGCCCAGTTAGTCCCCTTTAAGCATATGTCCTAAACTCATTGCTAGGGCAGTGTTTTCAAATTTCCATTTAACCTATGTATTTTCAAATACAGTACAAACCACTTGCCATCAAGCAGCCAGTGAGCCCATGTTACTTAATTTTGTTTAATACGCAAGTCCCCCATTCTATGTATTATACTGTAGACTCCCACATTTTAAGATCAAGGAATAATGATGCCTGAACTGACTAATTCAGAATATGCTGGGCCAGAATCTCAGCCGGTACAAACTGATGTTTCTTTGTTAATTTACCCCATCAGAAGGACCTGGTCTTGAAGCATTACTTATTTTGTACCTATTGCCAAAGTAATCTCTACTAAGAGAAAAGTCTGGTCTGCAGTCCTTTTACTCCCCAAACTCCTACTGAAGTTTCTAGTTTGAGCATCCTAAATTTCTGTCTCATGATCAGTAGTAAATGCGTAGTTGGCTGTACAGAGGCAAAACTCCTCTGAAGCCCACTACGGAGTGCAGAGGAAGGGGTCCATAATTAGACATAGCGGACAAGATCAATAAAGTTCAAAAGCAAACATATCATTAGCAAAGAGATTTGGTTTTATTCTGATAAAAGCAATTAAGATTAACAAATTAAGTTGCTCGATCGGGTCCTACAAGAGAGATTAATATGCAGCTGAGTATATTCTAGCATACCAATAAATAAGAAGTTCTATGCATCTGCCAGTGATTACAGTTTGCTTAGGAAAAAAGTAGGATTATTAAGTCAATAGTTCCAAAATATTTTGGCTCTGCAGGCCATCACCAACCCTCAAAACTTAGCACTGACAGTTGTGCACCTTTCTCATTGACCTTTTAACTGACGGAAATGAAGTATTATTTGCTATGGGTCTGTGAATGTCCGGCAGACCATTTGCCATGACCCTGTGGACTACCAGTGAGCCACGGACTAAATTTGGAAATTGCTAGAATAAGCAAAGCGATAGAAAATTCTGCATTTGTACCACAACTCCTACATCTGGGAGTAAAACGGTCAGTATGACTTAGTGGAACTGCAATTTGGATGTAGATCTACCATGATGTATATTATTGGTAGCCCAT